TTCTCCTCCAATTCCCAGCCGCCACCTAGAGAGGGGGAAGGACGGCCACGCAGCCGACCTACCACTACAACAAAATACAACATTGCCGACGAAACAAAAACATCGGCAAAAGTTTAAAAAACATCGGGAAAAACCTTTCCTAACGCAAAATGCAGCGTCGCTAACGCGTCGCCAAAAGTACATCAAGGAAAGTATTTGGCGACGCAAATACAATGCGTCGCCAAAAGTATACTTTTGGCGACGCGTCATGCGTCGGGAAAAGTATATCTTTTAGCGACGCATAATATTTTGTGTCGGCAAAAATGTACTTTTGACGACGCATGCAGCGTCGGCAAAAGCTATGCGTCGACAAAAGTATAGCTTTTAGCGACGCAAAATTGTTCGTCGCTAAAAACTATAATTTTGGCGATGCAAGTTAGTGTCGGCAAAAGTACAGCTTTTAGCGACGCAGAATAAAGTGTCGCTAAAAACTATACCTTTGGCAACGCAAAATAGCGTCGCTAAAAGATATTATTTTTGACGACGCAATATAACATCGGGCGAAAGTATAATTTTAAGTCGGTAAAAAGTATATTTTTATTAACACTAATTTGCATCGCCAAAAGTAATATCTTTTCTGTCAACTACGCTGAACCTGAACATCCACAACAAATTTGCTCACATTCACATCAACAAAGAAACCAAACATCAAATTATACTCCAAACAAGTTGCATATTAACAGCTAAAATGAAACAAATAATAACATTAGTAAATAAATTTAAACACAATTCTATTAAACAAATAACAAGTGTTTGTGTCACTCCCCGCTTCCCAAAATACCCGGGAATCGGAACGTGAACAAGCCCGAGACGTATTAGATTGAGAAGAAATATACACTATTATTTTTTTTCTCTTCTTTTCTTCTCAATCCAATACGCTAAGCGACTAGAAATAAATACAATGCGAAGTCACAGGTCCCCGATCACAGTAGTGAGAATATAATAAACAACTCAGAACAGAAAGATCCATATCACAAATAGAATATCATCCGTGAAACAACGTTTGGGTCAAACATGCCCTTATTACAAAACAATCCAACTAAATATGAAAATACATAGTCCAACAGAATAAAAGGAAGTACTATAAAAAGACTAAATCTCTCAAAAATACTAAAAGAGAAAATACTGCATAAGTAATCTAATATCCCTCAACGACTACAGAAAAGAAATGACTGAGTTCCCGCTTGCTCTTCTGCTCCATCTAGAATACACTCCGTCTGCAAGGCATCTCCTTACTGTACCTGTCCGTCCTTTAAATCTGACGTACACCAGAGAAAACAGGTGTACGTCAGCGTGTATGGCACACGGCAAGATCCTATAAGAGAGAAATGAAACGATCGAATGACCAATGCAATAACAGATATAACAATAATAAAAGCATGGAACTGGGATATTATTAATCTAAAGAAATCCACCACTAGAATAGCGATCAACATAATCATCCACATATCAAGTCATACAACTAGATGAAATTAATACTTAAAAATCTACAACTCGAGACGTAGTACGTCAAGCGAAATAATCCAAACAAGGAAACTCCTTAAAAATCTACAACTCGAGACGTAGTACGTCAAGCGAAATAATCCAAACAAGGAAACTCTCATGTATATACCATATGTCTCAAATAGACGTAGTACGTCAAGCGAAATAATCCAAACAAGGAAACTCTCATGTATATACCATATGTCTCAAATTGTAGATAATTAAATAATAATCCCGATCCTTGTATGAAAAGAAAATATAACTGGTCCCTATCTCATAAGAATCCAAACTCATCCAAGTAACAAGTCATGTAACTAGTCATTCTATAGCAGGTCACTGGTCACATCTCACACAGAGTCAACGCTCCTGTCATCGGATACTGACTGTTCACAAATCCCCTACGTGCATCCAATCCCGCTACACATGCGGCCAGAGGACTACACGTAAACTGTTTTCTGCCTGGTCCGAACTCAAGCACAACTCGGGTGACGAAACGATTTCACTGACTAAAGTGATGTACACACTTCACTTTAGCCCTACAAACCAACCCCAGTGGCGACACCAACCACTGGCGTGAGCCTGGAAGATACATCAACAGTCTTATCGGATCACATGAACACTGACTTCCCCATCCCAACTCTTCTCGTTTTTCTAAGTTAATCATAATCTCATTGAAAAGTCGGGTTCACCGCCTAACCAGTCAACACACTCACACATGTCACTAAGTCTATTCATGACGCACAAGGCTACTAAATCATGAACTACTAAGGGTTCTCAAACACAACATGGACAATACATAGCATACCATGTAATTAAAATAAGAATCATGGAATCGACGATTGTTTTGCGCATCACACGTTCATCAACTAAATTAATTTAAAATAAATAATTCTTTCACAAAATAAAATTCTTTTAAATAATAAAAAAATGATTCTTTTTCCAAAATAACTTCTTACAATTTATCGTAATTTTCCTCAAATGATTCTGTTCTCAAATAAATTCTTTTTAATTAATAAAATTATTCTAAAATGATTCCGTTGCCGAAATAAATTCTTTTAATTCATAATAATTATTCTAAAATAATCTTTTCTCAAAATAGTTTAATGATTCAAATAATCAGTTTTCCAAAATAAATTATTTTAAATTATCTATTTAATAATTATTCAAAACTAACCCCTTTTCCAAAATAATTTCTCTTAGTTTATTTCTCACAATTTCATTATTAATATTAATCATCCATAAGCTCACGCAGTTAATAACAATATACACGCTACAACATAATCTAAAAATTGAATGACGAGTCAAAGAATATCGGGATCTTGCCTCAGGTTCGTCGAACGGATCGACGCTAGTGCAGTGGGGGTCGCGTGAGTCTGATCTCAAGCGGCGCGGTCTGAAGACGTCGGTCGTAGGTGTTGGGGACTGCGCGGTCAGCAGGAGAGGTCGTCGCGGACGTCAACGGCAATAGGCAAGGACAACGGCGAGCTCGGGCAGTGATTCGTGGGGCGGCAGCGAGCGGGGGTGAAGCAGCGACGACGAGGTAGGGGCCTGAAGAGTCGGGGTCAGCGGCGTTCGCTAGGGGCTGGCGCGGTGGCGGTGAGCGGATCTAGGAAGGTTGGGAAAACGTTGGTGGTGTCCGCGGGTGTGAGGCGGCGCTGTGAAGTTGGGTTGCAGGCGCTGGCGGGGAGGCAGAGGCGGCTCTGGCGTTGGTCGGTAGAAGGCGGGGGTTGAGGCGTACTGGCAGCGGGTGGCTGCCTAGTGCAGGTCTGGCTGGAGCGGGGGCCTGGACGTGGAGCTGTCGAGGCAGCGAGTGGTTGGAGGAGAGGTGGGCCGCGAGGGTTAGCAGCGGAGGGAGAGCTAGAGGCGAGCGCGACTAGGTGAGGTGTCAGGACGGTGAAAGGCGGTGTGTGGCCGGAGCGGAGGCCGAACATGGTGGCGTGGACAAGAGAGAGAGGGGAGATAGATAAGGACGAAGAAAGGGGCGGGCTTGTTGCGTTTTGGGGAAGAAGAAAAAGAGAGAGAGAGAGAGAGAGATAAAAGTAAATGTATATATATATATATATATATATATATATATATATATATATAATATATATATATATATATATATATATATTATATATATATATATATATGGGTTTTAGGGTTCATTTTTTAAAACGAAATTAATTAAAATAAATAAATACGGGTACTTAAAAATTAAACTAATTACAGAGTAATTATCTACAAATAAAAAACGTACATGTTGTGCTAATACAACAGTTGATACGAAATAACCAAAATATACACATATTGTACAATTAAACGAGAATAATTAATAATAAAAATATATTTACTTACATTTAAAATCAAACAATTATGAGACAATTACGTACACAGTAAGACGTACTAGTTATACTAATATGACAGATAATATGTAACAGTAGAAGTAATATAACAAGTTGTACAAACAATACGTAATTAATAATACAACGTATTATACAAAAATAAACGTAATAATAAAAATAATACAACGTATTATTCAAATGACATGTAACAATATCGATAACGCAACAGATAAATTTCATAAATTTTTACTGCACTAAATAAATTTATAAATATTTAAATTATTTAAATAAATATAAAACTTAGACTTTAAACCACAAAAAATTATAGAAATTCGAGAAAAATATAAATACTCCTTTAAAAATCATAATTAAATATTTTAAAATACTAAAAAATTATTTTAACTAGTATCAAAATTCATGATCCTTATAGTTTGACACATGTTTTATTAACAAATCCAACAATCATGATTAAGTAGACTTGAACAATAAAGACTACAGAGAACCCATATCTTATCAACGTTGCAAGCTTTTCCTTCGTCACGTCTCTGGCTTCTTCTTCCCACCTTCACCATCCATCTCCATCTTCTGTTGTGTAGCTGCAATGGAAAGAAATATACTCAGTAAAGCAAATAAAAAGTTAAAATCAAACACAAAAAATGTACTCAGTAATGCTCTAATATATACTTTTTATTTATGTATTGATGAGTAAGATATTTATGCTGAAAGATTGCATAAGAAAAATATCAAGACGGATAATGACAAAATGATATCCTCAAAACAACAATATTTATATCAAACTTTACACTTGTGACAATATTAACACAAAAACCATGATACCTGTCTAAATGAGTGCAATTTGTTGTAGTGGATCCACAACAAGTAGTCTCGCTTCATCCGGAAACTTATCAGGTAACTGAAATCATCAAAGCAAAAAAAAATTACTGCATTGAGTTACACACAATTCTTTAACTAAACTAAGATATATTAGAAGAACAAGTTCTTAATACTTAGTCAGGTAAGGATGCATATTACATGTGTCAAATCTAATGAAAAACCATGTGTCCCACAAAACAAATGCATTCTGCAACCAAGAAAATCAAGTTGGTATATGCATTCAGGCCTGATCTCCACAAAACAAGCGTACCTCTTTAGTTTTTCCAGTAACAAGTTGGTATATAGCAAGAAGGTTGTTGCATTCAGGCCTTTCTGGATTGTCAAATTCCAAGCTGTAGATTGAAAATTTTGGAAAAACATAAATTTAAGATTTTAGGTGTCAAAACAATGACATGGAACTCAAGAAATGTCAAGAATGCAAACAAATAACTCATGTGAAAACAATTCACCCGACCGAAAAAAGTTAAGAATGGAAACTAGAAATGGCAGGAAGCTTCAAGAAGAAGTAAATCATCAACAGGAGTAATGCTCCTTGATGTATATGCTAATATAAGTATTTACGGCATATCAAGATGGTTACAGCACTGTGTCATGCACCCAAGGTTGTTTACATACGACATGGTAGCGAAGATGCCTGTGATCCCGGGAGACACATTTTGGCCACTTTAGAAAAAGAGCAAGTAAAACTTGGAAGTAGCATGATGACCAATTAATTGACAAAGTAATGCTCCATAACTTGGAAGTAGCATAAACTCCATGTTCTCTCTTTTCTCACTTGTAAAGGGTAAAAAAAGGCAAACCCCTAATACCTTTGAAAGGCCATCTGTAAGAGACATCACTCGAGCCCCCGCAGGTGGAACAAGAGCCTCAGGAACCTACATGTTAAAATTGAGCATGATGAGGAAAAGTTTTGATTCAAAGCTTGCAACTTTATCCAAGTTGAGGGGGAACACATGCACCTTGAAAAGTGTACCACCTCTCCTGAAAATAGAATGATGACTATTAGAATCGTGGCACAAGACATAGACTAATTGTTGAATTATCATATTTTATTTTTCAGAATGTAATAGGAAAGACATCCAACCCGCCCATTTTTTCAATTTCTTTCCCCCAAACAAGTAATTTACTCGCTCAGCCAGTTCACGAGTCAGTTCCAGATGTTGTCTCTGATCATCACCCACTGGTACTAGATCGGACTGAATATGCATACAAAAGATTAATCATAAGGAGGTTCCATGTAGATTTTTACTGAGAAAACATAATATCTTATCCATACTAAACCAAGAGAAGAACTTTGCAGAGTTCAACAATATTTGAGTATGGAGCTCAATTCAATATGAACATAAAAGCTCAATCACCTGATATAAAAGAATATTAGAAGCCATTAGAACAGGATAGGTCAGAAGTGCAACTCCAACATTTTCGTCACCCTATAACAAAATTAACATAAAAGACAATATTAAATTCCTTATTCAATAGATGAACAAAGAAGTTAAAGAAAAAATAATAATGGTGATGAGGATATCATACGCCAGTGACACACCGTCTTGCGTGATTTTTCTTCAAACTGGATCATTTTGTTTAGCCAACCAAGTGGTGTGACAGAACTAAGTAGCCACATCAACTCTACATGGGCACGAACATGAGACTGCACAAACACAGAAGCCTGCAAATGATGACATAAATTAGTCTCATACCTTAAAGCAAATGATGACATTACCAACTAAAAGGCATAATGCAGCACGAAAAGAGAAACTTGTGGGCTCGTACCTTGGCTATGTCGACACCACAAGCCAGATAAATTGCTGCAGTGCTTCTGGTTGCTTTAGACAGTTCCACAGCATCATATTGTAGAGTAATCTATATACAAAGGGGGGGAAATGGAGATGTCAAATACGATTGACGAGATTAAACAAGAAATATCATACAATCCATAATTGTTGATAAGAAGCAAGGAAAAGAGGTTGAAATCTTAAAAATGCCCTACCGCATGTAAATCTACAATGAAGAAGAGTGTTTCATAAGTATCCTGAAAAGAAATAGCAATTCAAGGTCATCAAGTCAGTCAGAAGGAAACATTGTACTATAATAAATAAAATAACAAAATTAACACATGGGTATGCAGGCACGAAATAGATAGAAAGCTAGTAAAGGTACCAATACAAATCACATGCACACACGCACATGCACGCACGCAAGCAAGCACACATGCACGCATACAAGCTCGACAGAGTATTGAATAATTTTACATAACAATCTACTGATTATGACACCTCTGATTTTCAAAATGATGAAGCTGTCGTGTCATATATGTTCATTTTGCCTCTAGTTAATCATTAATCAAATATGACATAAACATAGGAAGCAAACGAACCTGAAGTGAGATCCAATTCTTAATGGCGCCAAGATAGTTTCCAAGGTGTACGGATCCAGTAGGTTGTACTTCAGAAACAACTCTTTTTCTGTAAATTAAATTTTGAGTGAGAAGTCATCTTATATTAGGAATAAGAAACTAAAAATAGAAACTGGGAACAGACCAAATATCTTAAACTATGTCAACCTGTAAACAAAATATAAAATACCACTCTAAGCAAGTATAATATGATATTAAACTGAGCTGAAAGCATTTTTTTGAAATAAGCTTTAAACTTTGCAACAAACTTTAAACTCTGTATAATGTCATTAGAACAATAGCACACACGTCCACAATTGAAGGGAGGGGGGAGGGGAGGAAAGTTTATTTGCGTTGGAACTTTTGTTAATATATGACAAATGTGACATGAAACTTGAAAAATACCTTCAATCAATTTATTATTTTATAAAATTCAAAATTCGTGCTTAAGTACCAACTACCACTATGGCTACGGTAGAATAGTTACAAATTCTACCTCTTGTTTGGTAGGGTGATTTGTATATTATCGTAATAATATTTATTGAATATAATATCTAATGTGCGCATGCCCTATGGCCCCTAACCCCCTATCATACTTTGAAGTGATAATCATAACATTTTACTTAAAGTAAATTTTAAGTATAACTTTAGACAATTTGCTCAGCAGACTCTTTCAAGCACTGAAATTATATCTTCCTTAAAATCCCAAGCAGGAGACAAAGCTAATTCCAAGCAAAATCCAAAAGCTACATTGCAAATTTGCAGTCACATCATTCCACCAATTGAACAAAACTCTAAAAAAAGTAAATCAAGTGACTCACTTTCTTTGGCTAGCTACAATCTCTGATGCCTCCATAGCCGGTGCCGCAACACTACAATGACATTGGAACCCATCGCGCTCGCCGATACTCCGCAATTTCCAAACTTGTTTCTGACCTTTGCCGCTGCAATTAACAAAAAAGAAGGTGAGATTATAAGTTTGCAAATGATCGCTATCAATAGAAAGAGGATTGGAGTCCGGTTGGAGCTCCATGGGGCTGCAAATTGGAGTTTTGCAGCCCCATTGGAGTTGCTCTCAATAGAAAGAGGAGGAAGTATTCAAATCTAGGCTCTTTGCTCGAGATTCGGATCCTGACAATTTTCTCCATAGACTCGTACAATGAAAAAAGAATTTTTTTTATCTTTCGTTAAAAACATCAGATAATTCCAAGTAAAATCCAAAACGGACAAGCAACATTTCGAACAATTCACTCCCATCGATCGAACAAAACCCTAAAGAAAGCCACTTCTCCAAAGAACAAAAGGTAAATCCAGTGGAACTCACTTCTAGGGCTAAACAATTAGAAACCGTATCTTTCATTAAAATCATCATCAGATAATTCCAGGTAAAACCCAACAAAATGGCGACATTTCAATCACCTGACTTTCATCAACCGAACAAAACCCTAAAAACAACCAATTCCCCCCTTTTAATCGTCATCGACCTCGAGCCCGCTCGCTCGGACAACCCCGCCCTCTCTATTGCCGGCGCCGTGCAGTCTCAGAAGATGGCCGTCCGCCTTGGAAGTAGTGGACGATGGGCAGCGTGGAGATGAGAGAGATTTGGGTGGGGGGGTGGTTAGAGAGAGAGGGGGGTTTGGCCCGTTTTAGATGGAGAGGGAAATGAAAAAAGAAGGGGAGGAAATGAAAAGCAGCGGGGAAATGAAAAAAAAAAAGAGGGATTTTTTTTGGGACGCATCTACTTCTTTATTAATCTACTTCTTATTACCCAAAGGAGAGCACTCAAAAAGTTAAAATGAACACTAAATCTGATTTGGACCAATCAGATTATTCATTAAAAAAAATATTTATAAACAGTAACATATTGACAACATAGATAACCCACGTTTCAATCCCAGACCAATCAGATTATTCATAAAAAAAAATTACAAACAGTAACATATTGTCAACATATAACCCACGTTTCAATCCCAGTCTTTCTCAAAAAATTGATAACTAACATCTAACCCATGTTTTACATAAATAACTAACATCTATCTCAGTCTTCCTCCCCACGTTCCAATCCCAGTCCTTCTCCAAAAATTGGTAACTAAAATCTAACACATGTTTTACATAAATAACTAACATTTATCCCAGTCTTCCTCCAAAATTGGTTAACAAACTAGCTTTGCACGTCTCTTTTCTCAAGTCTCTTTTCTCAAGCTGCTTCTATTTCCTACCTCCCATCTCCTGTCTCCTGTCTCCTGTCTCCTGTCTACAGCAAATTGTTTACAAGAAAGAGAACAATGTGAAGGTAAGATTTACAATACTATTACACAATACTATTATATCGCTAAAAGCTATATTTTTGCCGCACAATATAGCATCGATAAAAGTATTTATTTTTAATGACGTAAAACTGTTCGTCGCTAAAAGCTATACTTTTTCCGACGCTAACGTGCGTCGCCAAATGTATACTTTTTACGATGAATATTTTTATATCTCTAAAAGCTATACTTTTGCCGACGAAAATGAAAAAACGTCGGGAAATCCATACACTTTTACCGACGCTAAGTTAAAACGTCGCAAATAATATACATTTTTAGCGACGTTAATTATAAACGTGGGGAAAAATATATGTTTTGCCGACGCTAACTAAAATCGTCGGGAAAAACATAGTTTTTGGCGACGTATTTAACCATGCGTCGGGAATAAGCGTCGGGAAAAATACAATTTGTTGTAGTGTACCCTACACCCTGCCTACTCTGACAAACCCAGAGCACTAAGAAGACTTCTCTCCCCTGATAACGAGTGACTTCCCTCACAGTCGCCTGTCGACACCCGGAGGAAGAAAGATGACTCAGCAGCATGCATGTTCACCTTTCAAACCGCCTCCTGTGCATAGTCAACAAAAACCGAGGGTCAAACTCCCAGAGACAGAGGGGGGTTATAAAAGGAGGTAAGAAAGGTAAGGGCAAGGGAGATCTCTGGTTACTTCTTCTTGCACCTTAGCTTCACTTCCTCTTTCATATTTTTAATATTCCCAAGAGGAAAACCCCCTGCAAGGACCTCAATGGCCCATGGGCCTCCCAACAAACCCTCCCCATGTTCATCAACTGACTTAACCGTGAGGTACTACGGGGGAAACTAGCCCCGTACTTCTGCGATTCTTGCATGTACAGGCTGTCAGTCCACTCCGCGCGCTCAGAATCGGGCATAAAGTCGGAGGAGGAGCCGGCTCCAACATTCATCCTCTCCTTCTTCCCCACCATTGTCAGGATCGAAGCTGCATCCAACAGCGAGAAACCCCCATGAACTATTTGTTTACGAGCATCAACAATTTGGCGCCCACCGTGGGGCCTGCTTTCTTCTCTGAGAAGAAATGCCCAATTCTAAGTCGGGGCCTGATATTGTTCATTCTTAAAGAGCACCGGAATTGCACCGTTCAAGCTAAACAAAGCCTGGAATCGCATCATTCAAGCTAAGGAGGATTAGCCTATGGCTATGAGGAGCTAATGTGGGTGTAACCCTTGGAGGCTCCAGCAGCTTTCTGGGGAGTATTTGCTAAGTAGAACCCCGAAAGCCCTCCTAAGAAAAAACACACCACTATAGTGCTTGTCTGGCTTGAGAATGAAGCGTAGGCTTCTAATCGCCGCCACAGATGAAAAACCCTACTGCCTGGATAGCCAAGGGATTTGGGGTTGGATCGCAAACAGAACCCCCAGAGGCAATGATCAGATCCAATATCGCTCAAGCTCCTGTCGGCAATGGCTCCCCCGAACCAAGAGCAGCGATCAAGTCTGTGGCAGGCCATTCGGACCATCACCACTTTCAAATGAGAGTCCTTCCTCACCAAGGATGAGATTCCGAGGAAAACTCAAGGGCTCGCCATCTGGTCTTCTCAGGAAGATTAACAGCCCTGGCCCCCGGTCGTTGCTCAGAACTGCCAGAGTCGAAGTATAACTTGTTAGCCCTTATGTTTTGATGATGTTCTTACAACCACCATTATCGGTACTAATGGCTTATTGAG